GTTTGAAGCCATCCTGGGCTACAAAGTAAGCTCAAGGCCAGCGTGAACTGCATAGTGAAACCCTGTCTCAAAAAGACAGAAAAAAAAAAAAAAAGAAGGCAAATGAGGATTCTACCTAGGAGAAATAAAAATGCCATTTTAGGCTGGGACAAAAGCAGGTAGAGGAGGAGAGGAGACTTGGGGAGGCGCATGAGATCGTGCCAACTGTGAGGATACAGATGCCATCTTAGGGGCAGTGGCTCAGCAGTGAGCTTGGAATCCAGCACACTAGGGTTGGAGCTTTGACACTGCCACTGGCTCTCTGACCTTGGGCAAGTCAGTCAACCTAAGTCACAACTGGCCCATCTGTAGAATGGGCATAAAAAGCTGTCTACCACAAAATGTTGGGAGATTACATGAGTTACTAAAAAATATAGTATTTATGAGGTATGATTAAAAACATGGAGAATGTCTAACTTTTAAAAATGAATTACAGTAAAAGACACAGTAAAAATCTCCCCCCTCGCTTTGAATATACTTACTCCGTTTTCCGTGCCACTCTGGGAAGCAATTCTGGATGTCCTCTTCCCTGTCTATAGCTGTACTGCTGAGGCTCCTTTCTTGTCCTAAACTGACTCACATTTATTTCTCTTGGTCATTTTGACTTTGGGGAAGAACCAGAAGTCACACAGTGCCAGATCTGGTGAATAAGTGGCTGAGGACACACTGTAATGTTTTTGACAGAAATTGGCACTAACATTTTTAATCACTTTATGACACTGAGGCAGCTGCCAGAAGACATGAAGCAGGGCTTCCAGAACTGCTTCAGAAAGTAGCAAGAACAGTAGGATAAAAGTGGTCAAAGCAGGAGTGGGGAGTGTTCTGAGATGGATTAGTGTCAGTGTGTCTTTTACTGTAATAACTTCTTAGACTTAACCATGCACTGTAGTTTTTTGCCTCACGGCATAATGCCTAGCATGAAAATGACCCCAAAAATGGAGAACTAGAGGTGTAGTTTGGAGGGGAGGATACTCACTCAGCATGCACAGATCAGGGTTCCATCTTCAGCACCAAAAAATAAAATAGAAATTACTTTTTTTTTCATAAAAGGTGTTGCCCTTCTGTGTCGTCTGAGCTCACTGTCGTTCATCTTCCTCCACCAGGAGGCAGTGTTGCAGATAATTAAATGAGCCTCTTATCCACCCCATGAGTCTTAGTGACTTTTTTGTTGCGGGAACGAAATATCCAGCACTCGCTAGTTAAAGGAGAAAAGGTTTATTTTAGTTCACAGTTTGTAGAGGTTTCAGTCCATAGTCAGCTGGCTCCAAGGCAGAGCAGCATGGCAGAAAGGCGGAACAGTCCATGACAGGAAACAATGTGCCTCCCTTTCCCTTTTATTCCATCCAAGCTACAAGCCCATTGGTTGGTGCCACCATATTCACTGTGGGCCTTCCTGTTATTCACACCTAGAACTATGCTAAATCAATCAGTGGATTAATCCAGTTATCACACCCATAACCCAACATTATATACCCTTGATCTAGCCACCTTCCAAAAGCCCTACCTATGAGTACATGAGGCTTTGGGGGACATCTATAGAAAGGCCATAACACCACATCTTACTGACTGGGAAGCTCTTCTCTCACTGACCTCTGAGAGTTAGACCTGAGACTGTACTCAGGGAGGGCTGCCTGCCGCTGCTCATCTGCTTGTTTTTCTGATGGCGTCAACTCAAACTACTACATTTAACTGCTAACCAAGTCCTGGAAGGAGGAAGAGGGCTGGGGACATGTTCGGTTCTCCATCCAAATGCTCAAGTTTTTTAAAGGGCCAACATTTCTTTGGACCACAGAGGAGAAAGAACCCAGTTTGTTCTTTATATTTTGTTGTTTTTTTTTCCAAGTAACAAGGATACAGAAACAATTATTGTTAATTTGAGTTGAGCAAAATATCATTGCTAACAGTAGCAAAAGAAAAGACCCAATTAAAGCATGGGCAAAGGATGTGAATATACATCCTCCAAAGAATCTATGCAAATGAACAATGAGCCCATGAAAAGATGCTCAGCATCACTAATCATTAGGAGATGCAAATCCAAACCCCAGTGAGACTGCTCTCCACTCATTAGAGTGGCTCTTAGAAAAAGAGAGTGTCGGTGAGGGTGTGGGGAAATCAGAACCCTTGCATGTTGCTAGTGAGAATGTAAAACCCTGCAGCTGCCATGGCAAATAGTCTGGCAGGCCCCAAAATGCTAAACATAGATTTACCATATGATCCAGAAATTCTGTTTTTGGGTGTGTACCCAAAGGAATCGAAAGCGGGACTTGAACAATTATTTATACATGCAGGTTTGCATCCACAATAGACAAAAGATGGAAGCAGCTCTAGGGTCTCTTAATAGCTGTAGCTAAATACAATGTGGTAGTGAAATAAAATAGAATATTAGTCAGCCTTCAAAAGGAAGGAAATTCTGATACATACAACAAATGGGTGAAACTGGAGGACTTTATGCTAAGTGAAATAAGCCAGTCACAAAAGAATAATTAGCCAGGTGTGGATGGGGAATGCTGGTAGTTCCCACATCTGAGAGGCTGAGTCAGGAGGGTGGTGAGTTTGAGTACAGTGTAGGCTACATTGCAAATTCAAGGCCAGCTGGGATTACATAGTTCCTTTCTCAACAACACCGAACAAGACAATTATTGTATGATTCTACTTACACAAAGTACTTAGAACAGTCTGAATCATAGAGCTGGAGTCGAGTGATGGTTTCCAGGAAGAGGGGGAGGGGAGAATGGCAGGTTAGTGCTGCATTGCAGTCTTGCCTTGGGAAGACGAACATCTCAATGGCTGCCCTAGAATTGAATGTACCTAATGCCACTGAACTGTATGTTATATGAATTCTACTACTGACCAGGCGTGGTGGTGCTTGCCTATAATCCCAGCACTCGGGAGGCCCAGGCAGCAGGATCAGTGCATGTTCTAGGCCAGCCTGAACTAATAGTGAGACCCTGTCTCAAAGAAAAAAAAAAAAATTCTACTGCTATGAGAATGGATGATGCAGCAAATGAACAGAAATCATTGTTAGCCACCTTCCTAGGGACTGTTGCTCTTTGCAAATGAATGTCCACGTGTAGTAGGGCTTTGGGCTTCCATGTGGACTTTGGGGTGCCTAACTCCAGGCCGAGCCTCCGCTGTGGACGTCCTCTCCCGTGGAGAAGTTTTATAACCTCTTCCTCGCAGTCGGAGCAGAAATATTTCCTTGGGAAAAGGGTAAGACAGCCGTGCAGGAAGCACTCCCTGGGTTTGGGCAGACGCTCTGATGGGGTCCGGGGCATGAGGGACCGTTAGATGTTGGATACAGAAAAGGAGCAAAGAGATTAGCTGCACGGCCCTCACCCTGTCACCCCTTCGGCCTTCCCTCTGCATCTCACGGCAGCCCCTCGTTCCCGCTTGAAGCGGACCGGAACATCCCAATCCTTCTCAAACCTGCCCACCAGCCCTGCTCAAAGTCCCCTATTTCTACCAATTCTATCAGGAAGCCGCTCCCACTGGCAACCTGGCTCTGACCCTGAGCACTCATATCTCTATCCAAAGCCATCTCAAGAGTGTTTCTGTTACTGATCAGGCTGAGGAGAGATGGTCAGTGGCACGCATCCCAGTGTAGTCTCCCTACCACCCTTCTCTCCCAGTTCCTGTTCCCCCTGGTGTACCCTCCTTCTCACCCTCCTCCCCGCCCCTCCCCCTCCCCTTCTCCCTCTCCCTCCCCTCCTCCTTCTCTCTCTTCTTCTCCCTCCGCCCACTCCCTCTCTGAGACAGAACCTGCTATGTATTGCAGGCTGCCCTCATACTCATGTGATCCTCCTGCCTCAGCCTTCCAAATGCTAGTGATGCAGGCATGTGCCACCCAGCCTGGCATGCCCTCTCTTCTGTTTACCTTACCACCCACTCACTTTTTGACTCAATCCACTTTGCTTCCATTTCAACATTCAGCATAGAATTGAGAGGGAGGACCAGATCCTCCCTTCTCTGGGAGCTGCTTGGTTACTTGTATTCCCTGGGAGATGCCACCTCACCCCTTTCCTCTCCAGAATTCCTCCCTGCAGGAGTAGTGGGTTGGAGGTTGATGCGGGCGGGGAGCAATACACCCCCAGGGAAACCTTCTTCCAGGGTGCAAACTAGCTGCAGGACAACTTCTGGGAACAATCGAGTGATTAGAACTTGGGTCTTCTTGGACTTGCCTGAAATGGCCCGTCAGCATCTCTTTTCTTTTATTGGCTACATATGAACTAGAGCTTCCCAGTGGCAGTCAGAGACCCTACCGTTGGCAAGCCAGGAAAACCACGTGCAGTCGGAGAACCACGGCCGCTAACCAGGGGAGCGGCCTAGAAGCTGTCCAAGGAGCTTGGGCAGCGGCTCTGCTGTGAATAATCACTAGCGCGAAGAGGACCGGGCTGGGCTCCTGCTCCCGCTTCAAGGGAGCTTCTGGACAATCTGCCCACTATCTCATTAGCACCTGGGAGCGAGCCCTGCGCTGAGGACTCGGCTCGGCCCCCTCGGCAAAGCAGCAGCCGCGGCTGCCTCCCAGCGGCTCCGGCGGTAATCAGCCAAGGTGGCAGTGAGATCTCGGCTGCCGCTGGCGGAGACCGGGCTCAGACTGCCCCCAGAGCAGCCCTGCTGCTGGTGACTCAGCGGGAGGAGGGGTGCTGGGGGGGCACACGCCACGGCGGGGGACTCGGGGTCTGAAGGGTCAGGATCATTGACAAACGGAGGCACAGGGCTTTTGGGCAAAGGCCAGGAACCAGCCTCGCGGCAGAGCTGCAATCTAATGAATTCACAGTAATTCCATTAGTGTCGCCAAATCCTTCCCGTGGGTTTAGCAAAACAGACCCCCTGCTCGAGGCTCCCTAAAATGCAGGTGGAACCCAAGTCTTGATGCCACACCCCTCTTTCCCTCATATGCTACCCACCCCCACCCCAGAGCCCAAGCGACCGCACAGGAGCGTCCAGAGTGCTGTGGGTGGAGATTTTCTTTTATTCATTTTGATTCTGGAGAGGAAAGATGGTGTCCACACCCCAGGTGCTGGAATGAAGCCCCACACGTGCAGGACATGTGGACGCCCACTGCAGATCCGCCACTGGCGTGAACGTGTCCCGTGAAGAAAATGTCCCCACGGCGCAGAAGTCCCCTCCCCCATTTGTGTGAGTTTCAAGACCCACACCCACACCCACCCAGGTCACCTTCAACTCCTGTAGGGTCAGAGCCCCCTCCCCAACACGCGCAAGCATCCCCTGGATAGACAGGGGACCCCACAGCGCCGGCAGGCTTCAAGGGCCTTCAGCCACCAGCTTGGGAAAAAGGCTGCCTTCTAGCACAGTGATGGGAGACTGGGAGAGCGGCCAGGCCAGGCCATCTTTCCCAACCCCTCCAGGGCCCCACAAACCCACTTCTTCCCCAGGGAAAAAGACATTTGGGAGCTGACAAATGCAGGGCTCAGCAGGACGTTCAAACCAGTTTCCTTCATGGTCAACTTCTGTTCTGCCAAAGCCTCTTGCTGCTCCCCCAAGATGGTTCCTGATGTCTGCAGCCCCCTGCCCTGGCTCCAAGCCTCCCCAGCGGGCGTGGACCCCGTGGATCGGGCAGCTGCCACAACCCCTCACCCCCCGACCTCCCTGCCTTCCCCCAGGGCAGCCCTGGCATGTTCTCGGCATCTGTCCCCACGACTTGCTGCGGTGACCCGACTCGGAGATGTCCGGGGGACAGGGGGCGGGTCAGGTGCCTTTGCTTTCTGTCCTCTCCTCATCAGCCGTCGGAGGGTTGCTGACGGCGCGAAGCTGCCCTTGGGCCGCGGGCTTCACGGACAGGACCAGGCGTTTGCGGAAGGTCTCGCAGAGCACGATGTACACAAAGGGGTTGAGGCAGCTGTTGGCGTAGCCCAAGCTGATGGCCGCGTTGTACAGGTAGACGAAGGTGAGGGTCGGGCGGCTGATGGACAGCTGGGTCAGCTGCAGCACGTAATAGGGCGCCCAGCACACAAAGAAGACCAAGCAGATGGCGATGGCCGTGCGGGTCACCCGCTTTGTCCGAAGCCGGATGCTGCGTTGGGAGGCGGGGGCCACTGAGGTTGTCATCCGCTGCAGGATCCTCACGTAGGCGGCAGTGATGACTACGAAGGGCAGGGCAAAGGCCAGGAAGAACTGGTACAGGGTGAACCAGTAGAGGTCCGTGTCCGGGTTGGGCAGGCGGATGCCGCAGCCCACGGTGCCGCCCGGGAAGGGGATGAGCCTGGCATAGAGCCACACGGGGGTGATGCTGATGAAGGAGAGGGCCCACAGGAGGCAGATGACCAGGGTGGCCACCGAGGGCTTCCTGAACTTGGTGGAAGAGATGGGGTGGACGGTGGCCAGGTAGCGGTCAATGGCCATGGCGGTGAGGATGTAGGTGCTGGTGAACTGACTGTTGGCGTCCATGGCTGTGATGAGGGTGCACATGGTCTCCCCGAAGTGCCACACCCCGTTGCCCATGAGCTGGTGGATCATGAAGGGCATGCCCAGGAGGAACAGCAGGTCCACCACAGACAGGTTGATGATAAAGATGTCGGGGACGTTGCTGCACCAGTGCAGCTTGGACTTCTTCACGACCGCGAAGATGACAGTGGAGTTCCCCACGATGCCCAGAAGGCAGATGGTGCCGAACACCGAAGGCATGATGATGTTGATGTAGGAGACGCTCCCGGTGCGTGGAGGAGACCCTGAGGGCAGAGGGGCGGGGGTCACTCTGTGCCGTGGCTGCGGTGGCACTCTCGCTCGCCTCTCATCCTCCCTGCAACTCCACCATTCATCCGGGAGTCTCTCCCTCCCCACACTGTTGCTAATCCTGTCCCCTTGTCCTCCTCTGCCCTTCTCCCGGGAGCCCTACCAGATTCTCCTGAGCCACCTGTTAGTTAGAGGCCCCAGTGCTTAGCCTCCTGCATGTATTCCAAAGGATGGGGGTGCCGTTCAGTGTGGAGGCCCTAGGTTCCATCCCTGGTACCAAAATAGCACAGAGCTATCTGCTGAGAATTACTCTGTGGGTCCCCGGGCTTCACCAAGAAACCTCACCATAAAAGCCAGAAGGACACGGGCATGAGTGTGTGTGTGTGTGCGTGTGCGTGGTATGTATGTTTCCTCTCCCCACTGGTAGCCCCGATCATTTTACTTCAGTGATTGCTGCTCGAAGCAGGGCACTGATTCCTGGGCGTCTCTGTGGGTGACCGTCTTGCAGCAGCATTTGCCAGCTGTGCTCTGGCCAGGCTCGCAGCCCTTCCAGCCCCAGCTTCCTGTCAGGGATCTCCTCGCTCAGTATCCCCAAACCCTCCAAGTGGATCGGAGACTGACGCTGCGTGTGGCCGCCCGGCAGGCTGACCACTGTCTCCACACACACCGTTCTTCCTTTCCTTCCTTCCCTTCTCCTTCAAAGCTAGAATCCCAGGGCGTTGCAGATCTGCAAATGTCAGAAAGCTTGATTCACCAGGAAAGTTAATCCCCTCACGCTCTGCAAAGTCTCTGCTTCCCACAGCCTCTGCCAGGGGGCGGTAAAGATGTCTCCGACCCCTTACCCCCTGTGCGTGAAGAACCCAAGGCACCCGTGAAGGAAAGAGCCTCCTACCGTCTCCCACCTACTCCCCGCCAGCTTCTGCCGTTTGCTTTTCCAGTCTGGATTTTTTTTTTTTTTTTTTCCTGCAAAGCGTCTTTGGAACTCATGAGCAAGCCTTCTCCTGCCTGCCTGCTGCCAGCCCCCCTCCACTGTCACCACCGACTGTGCCTCTGCCCTGGGCTGGGCTCCTGCTCCTTCTGCCCTGTCCACTCCTGTCCCCTTCTCTCTCCCCTCCAGGCAAAGCAGACTGCGGATCTGGTCCCTGAGAACTACAGTAAAGTTTCCCAAGCAGTTTGGCTCAGGGCGAAACCTCCCCACATCCCCCCCCCCGCAACCCCCAGCCCAGTGTCCAGCTCACCGGGGGAGGTGAGGTTGTCTGGGCCATCGGAGGTGTTGCTGGCATTGGGGCCAGTGGGCAGCGGCACGGCTTGCAGGTCCATGCAGCCGGAGCGAGTCGCCTGCGCCCCCGGAGTTGAGCTCCCGTCCACCCACGCAGGCTGCGGCAGCCTCCAGCGCCCTTGGCCGCCCAGTCCTGGAGCGCGAGCTCCGCAGGCCGGAGGGGGTCTTCCTCGGCAGCCGGCAGCCTCCGCTGCCTCCCAGCCCAAAGCTCTCGCACTCCCTCGCGGCTCCCACTGACATCACCTAGACACATTAACATTCGGAGGCAGATGCTCATTAACCTCTTCAGTCCCGGCTCCCACGCCGCTGCCTGCAGCGGGGCTGGGCACCAGCAGCCCCATCCAGGAGGAGACTTGCTTCCCCCAGGCTCCTGGGGCTGACTCTTGGGCTCGCCGGGGTGGGAGCGGAGGCGGCTGCTGCTTGCTTGCTTGCGGTCTCTGCAAAGGCAGAAGGGTAACGGCAAGGAGCTGCTTCACTTTGGACCTCCGAACCCCAGGTTGGGAGGTTGGGCCACGTGGCTGGGGCGGAGGGGACCGTTCCCAGAGCCAGGGACCCAGAGGCTCGCAATGCAGCAGGCGCACCCCGAAGGCCACCCTCCACCCCTGGCCCTGGCCCTGATGGATTCCAAACATCTCGCTGACTACCCTGCCAGCCTCCTGACTGGCCCTGCGCTGAGCCCTGCCCTGGCTGTCAGAGGTGATTCAAGTCACTCCATGCTGCCAGTGGCCAGGGTTTTGAGAGCCAGGGAGGATGAACTCGTCTCCACAGGCTCAGCCTGGACCGAGCGTGGGGAGGTCGCTTTTTTTCCAAATACTCTAAGGTCTTTGGGACAAATATGAGGGCACAAGAGCAAAGCCCTTGAGAGATCACCGGTGAAGACAGTCTCAGCGGACACAAGGATGCGGATTCTCTGCAGAGGCATCTCACCACTGGTTCCAGGAACGCTCGCTGTCAAGGGCCGTCACACCCCGCGGCCAGACCCAGGGTCTGAGTCCTTTGTTGCCACAATTGCCTGTTAACCCTCAGCAGTGGGCAAAAGGCACCAGGAGACATCGCTGGAAGCCCTCCCGTGCCCAGTGGAGTCCACTGTCCCTGCCAGCATAGTTCTCCCATTGCTGGCCTCCTGGTCCGCCAGCGTGAGGAGCCTAAATAAAATGAGATGCTGGGTGCGGTGGTGCGTGCCTGTAATCCCCGCTTCTAGGGAGGCAGAGGCAGGGGGATTGCAAGTTCTAGGCCAGCCTGGGCAACTTAGCGAGAACCTGTCTCAAATTTAAAAGAAAAAAATGTGTATATGGGCTGGGGAATGTAGCTGAGTGGTAGACTGCTCTTGGGCTCAACCTCCAGTACTAGAGGAAAAAAAAAAATCAAGTGAGTTCAGTTTTCAGTTCAGTGGACCCCTTAGTGTGTTCTTCCTGCTGCCCCCTGACCTGCCCATCCCTTACCGTGTTAAGGAAGGGGGTGCCCTCCACGCTTCCATAAAGAACCCACTCCTCAGCTGGGAGGTTCTCTGATCACATAATAAACTCCCTTCTCGCATCCCATGCCAGAATCTTCTGACCTCTGTGTCAAAACTCTGCCATCCAAGGGGATGGGGAAAAGTGGACTGTTCTTGTTTAATGGAAATAGAGTTTCTGTTTGTTTTGGGGTTTTGTTTTGTTTTTCTGAGACAGGGTCTCGCTTTGTAGTCCAGGCTGGCCTTCATTATGTAGCCCAGGCTGGTCTCAAACTCACAACAATCCTCCTGCCTCAGCCTTCTGAGGGCTAGGATTACAGCCTACCACGCCTGGCTCTAGAGTTTCTATTTGAAGTGACGTTACGCTCTAGAAGTGGACAGTGGCAATGGTTGCACATCGTGAATATACTTAATGCTGCTGACCTGGACACTTAAAAAGGTTTAAGGTGCTGGGGACAGAGCTCAGTGGTGGATCAGTTGCCTGGTATGTATGTGTGAGGCCCTGGATTCCAGCTTCAGCGCTGCAAGTAAAATAAATAGCCCAATTTTATGTTATATGTATTTTACTACAATATAAAAATAAAGTGGTAAATCTTATAGATAATCCTTCAAAACTCAGTGAAGCCAGGTGTGGTGGTGCATGCTTGTAATTCCAGCATTCAGGAGGCTGAGGCAGGAGGATTGCTGCTAGTTCAAGGCCACCCTGGGCTACCTAGTGAACTCAAGTCCAGCCTGAACTATATAACAAGACCCTGTCTCAAAAAAAACCACCCCAAAACAACAACAAACGACTCAGTGGAGGAAATCCCCATCTTGCTGCAGACCATTTTCTGGGGCTATCCCAAAGCACCTTAGGACGGGTCCCAGGAATCCTTCCTGGAAGTCCATCCCACATAACAGGAGAGTGCTTCCTGCCAGGAAGCTCTTTTCAAGCTTCTGTTTGCTCCATGAGCGGGCACCCCAAGATCCACTGCCACCCGTGATCCCTTTTCTGTTCTGGTCTGTGTTAGCTGGATCCTGGTGAGTGAGCATTTTCCCTACCGGCAGGGGCCGTGTCTCCCGCTCAGGTGATGCCAAGACCTGGTCTCAGTCCTCTCCTCCGGCCAAAAGCAGTGAGAGGAGATGGGGGCGTAGTGGAGAGGAGAAGAGAAGAGAGTTCAAGGCTCTCAAGTTCGCCCAGACGTACCCCCTGGGCCTCGGGGCTCCGCTCCCGTTCCCACAGAACACGGCCGGCTCCCTGCGCTCTGCTGCCTTCCGGTGAGGCTGTGGCTCTTCTGGCGGTTCGCCCTGCTGGTGCAGCGGGGAGGGTTTCTTTCACGCCTGCCTTGGAGGTCTCCGGGCTGTCACATGCACCCTGAGGGGACAGTTGGCTGCCCAAGGCCACTCCCTCCCTCCCAGGCTTGCAAAGCAGTTAAAACCCAGCCACCTGGTAGTCCTGGTGATGACTGCAGCTCCCGCACTGCTTCAGCACTTCCTTTCCACTCGTCCCCGTCAACCTCGACTGAGATGCTTTGTTGTTGTCCTGAGGCTGAGGAACGCAGGGCAGGGTTGCTCATTGCCTGTTTATCTCAGCAGTGGGGTCCTCGTGGACTTCCGGCTGGTAATTAATGTGACTTGGAGCTCTGCTTTCCACTCAGACTCCTGGGGAGAATTTTCTTACTTTTCTCTAAGAGCAGAGCCTCAGACAAGAACTATGTGCAAAGCCGGGCGTGGTGGTGCGTGCCTGTAATCCCAGCACTCGGGAGGCTGAGGCAGGAGGATCATTGCAAGTTCGAGACAAGCCTGGGCTACAAAGTGAGCTCAAGGCCAGCCTGAACTGCATAGTGAGACCCTGTCTCAAAAAGACAAAGAAAGAAAGAACAAAAGAAAGAAGAAAGA